ATTTTTGTAAACTGATTTTTTTATTTGTCAATTATGTAATGCTAGATAACTTTATATAGCAATTAATTAATTATTGTTATTGTGATTTTTGTTAAATTGTTATATTGAATTGTTAGGATGAAAAATTAATTTTTATGAATCTTTTATACTATATTAAAATAAGTTGAATCAAGTAGCTAAGATTCAACATATATTTTTATTAATGATTTTAAGTATGTTTGATTGTAATTTGTAACCGAATGATATGATATAACTTGGACTAGCGATTATAATAAAAAATTTTTTTCATTTAGAATACTATATTTAATATTTTAATATTAGGTTCTTTTTATTAAATCGTATGCAAAGCAAGAAATCGTTCAAAGATTTTAATTATCTTTATTGCTATCATATCACTTCAATTCCAATTTTTTTTGTTATGCTGTTTATTCTTGATAACTTTTCCGATATACAGTAGTTATTGAAAACAAAGTTTTGGAACCCACCTATTTCTAAATAATGAATCTGAGATACTGTAACCGTTTACAATTATATATAGTTTGTATGTTACGTTATGTCTACCAAAATGACAGATGAATCGTTGTATTTATCAGTATTAACCAAACATAGCCTATCGATACAAATATTTCACTGTTCGAATCAGATAAATCTTTCTAAAAAGGATATATTGATTATGAATATTAAAAATTCTAATTATACAAAATAGTGAGGAATATGAGGTGATAAAACAAGTGTTCCATTACTTAATAAAAGGATATTTTTATTAGTTTATTTTAATATACAGTAACTCAAATGCAATGTCGAAAAGTGCCAGAAATAATGATTAAACGCGATCCCAAATTTGTATTTTATTTCCATTCGGTCACTTAACCGATATTTTAAGAACGGCTCTATACATTCACGTTGTGATACTATGCATTGTTAATCTAGCGAATATCCATTTTAGTTTAATGTGTCGTCTATCATTTAGAATGTGATAGTCGAGTCGTTGTTATCATGAGCACACTAACAAATTACGTTAAAAAGTGAAAGTCTCAAAAATTTTTGGATGACACTTGCAAGTTTATCACGAAAGGAAGCGCCATAGTTCTTTATCAACTCTAGATTTCCGTACAATTCCACAACTCTGGTAAAACAATTATTTTTTTATTCGAGATTTCACTTAATAACTTTGTATATGCCTTAATATACAATATATTTTCTATTTCAACTTTGGGCAAGCTTGTTTAAAGAACAATGGGGTTTACGAAAACATCAAACATTTTTTGTATATGAATTTTTGAAATCGAGTGGCTGTTCGGTTGTCTTGAACATAGGATACTGGTCAATGTCTTCGCGTCTAAAATTTGAAAAATATTTGTATATTTCGGCGATCTTTATGCCGGCAGTTACTTTTTTAGATCATTGTAATATGAATCATTAATTAGGTAATCAGTACTACATTGCTTTGCATATATCATTCGTCACCTTTCTGTAACCCTCCTCCTTGCTGCCCAACAAATTGATTGATTTATACTGGTATATTGCAATAATGTACGCAGCAGCACATATAAATCGATTAGGCCTGCAATATCATCAGCGTGAGGTTGATATTAATAATATAGGAGTGAAATCCTTAGAATACGATAGCGCAGATGTTCCAAAGTCCTTGTCAACGCAACAAGATCGAGATGATACAGATGATTCAAGTTATTCAAATTACGACGACGACAACAATGAATCTTATCGATACTCCTCGGTACTATCCTTCATCTCTCAATATCAAAATACTCCAGACGAATATGAGGAATCCAAAGAAGTATTGACTCAGAATATCAAACACACCTCAACCTCACCGGTCTCGTCCCCTAAATTTAGGCTCACCTTTGGTTCAATCAGAGAAGCATTAAATAGACCAAGGAATTCCAGGCATATTAAAATGCTTAGTGAATTGAATCTCTCGATACCTGAAGCTAATGAACCGATTATATTTGAATCGAAAGTGGCTAATCTTCATTCCCCTACATTCAAAAAATCCTCAAAAAATCATCTCATTTTGACGAGGAAATGTTTGTGCCAGTTTAAGAATGCCGAAAAGGCAGCCAAGATATTTGATGGTCTGCCGTTGTGTACTCTTCCACCAAAAAGTCCAGATGTCAGTGGCCCTTCCAGTTCCCCCAGTTTGCCGGTCGAAAATGTAATACTAGCATTAGCTACGGTATTTGCGGTTACTGAAAGCCTCACTCCGAATCCACATATAAGATTGGATTACATATCTTCGCCAAAGAAACCGTCTTTTGTTTCCATAACAGCGCCGGACCTTCAGAAACATCAACAGTGGCTTATCACCTTACGTCCGGCAATCAGAAACACCGATCCAATTGGACCATACTTGAATTCTAGCCAACGCATGTGGATCATGAAGAAGCTGAGATTGCTTGACGATTTGGCTGATGAGAATGAAGAGAAGTTGGTTTCGTACCGAGCCTTGCTTAAATCCATAACCGACGAAGGTAAAATTGATTCGAATGACAAGGAGCCATGTGTGCCCGTATTATTCGTGCTCGGAAGGAGCAATATATATATCGTCCTAAACAACATGAGTAACAATGGGGTGCTCAATGAGGACAGTAGAAGGAGTAAGGATTTTAAGTTTGAGGAGAAACAGTCGACGAATTATCCATTGTTGATTGAGGATATTAAACGGAAAGAGATCAATCTCCGCAAATATCAATATCCTCTGCTATGCCTCACCGACATACGAGCGGATGGTCATGATGACACTTTTCATCTAACTTTCAAAGATAATGTAGGGTCCAAGTCCGCAAAGCGGACATTCGTTCTTTCTTCGTTATTGTACAAGTCCATAATAAATGATATTCGGGCAGCCATCGATTCAATCACTTTCTGGTGGCCAAATCCTTCTTACCGACTGCAAATTTCAGCGTCAGCATCCAATTCTCCCTCAACATCCTTATCTTCTTCTGGGAAAGACCGCAAGTCGATGCAAAAAATTGGAATCGAGAGAATGATTGAAGCGCAGCTGCATGCTTATCGAATTCCAAAAGCAAGAGTATCATTTAGAGTAGATTATGTTTTGGGAGCAGAAGGCATAGTTCTTGGGAAGGGCATAGAACATTTACCATTTAGGTTCACACTGCTTCCTCCAAAAGGAGAAAAATCTGATGAAGATGAATCTTACAGTAATTTTGAATTGTTAGCCGTATTTAATTCACTGCAACACCATCCACTATTGTATGAAGTGGTATTCCGAAATATTAACCTATTCGAGCTGCAAATTCATCCTGGACCAATGAATCGCAAAGGTGCCAATATGCTCGCTGCGGCGATTTATGACCTTCTGACGTCGAATCCAGAGTTGCAAAAATTGGATTTGACTTCTTGTGGACTAACCGGTGAGACTGTAGCAGCAATTGGAGACGCCATGATTACCGGCGGATCAGCACTCGAAAAATTATTAATTGGCAACAATTCAGTAACAAGAGAAGGAATACAGGCGTTGGCCAGTGGACTTACTAGTCACGGTGCGATTCTGAAAGAGCTTGATCTATCAAATTGTAAGTTGACACATGAAAGTATAGAGGTACTGTTAAACGCCCTAGATACGTTATACCCTGACAGACTCGAAGTTCTAAATCTCTCTGATAACACGTGTAACCTCGAGACCAATGTTCTGTCTGACCTGTTATCAAGAACCGTGAACTTGAGGAGTCTGAGCTTGCGTAACTGCGTCAATTTCTTTTTCAGACCTAACAAGATTATCTCTTTTGAGATATTAGAAAAGACACATTTAACAACCTTGGACATAGGCCGTGTGTCACTAAGTATTCGAGATCATTTACATGCATTATACGAATACATTAAATCACCTGCCTTCTCGAAGATGAAATACTTCATCGTGGACCATTGCAATCTGGACGGCGAATCACTGGCAATAATCCTTTCATATATCAGCACCTCACCAAATAACGAAAGCATAAGAGTTTGGGCCGGTGGGAATCACGTGACACGATCGCCAAGCGGCTGCAAAGAATTTTGCAATGCGGTGAGAAATGATTGGACGCCAACATGGTTATCGATGGAAGACACGATTTTTGGAGCGAATTCTGATGAGGTGGTGGAAATTTTGACAGCATTTGCTGAAAATACTGTGCTGAAATTTTTGGATTTGTCTTATCCCCAATTTAGAGTCAGTCAAGATTTCTTGATAAGAACGCAACATAAGATAACGGCGAAAAAAGCGTGTGAAGTTATTGGGTTTTTATTGAGTAATAACAATGGTCTCAAAGAGTTAAATTTGTTGGGGGATCCAGATCGAAAGTGGGGATCTTCATTAGGAGCCTATTTGACGGCACTGGGGAAGAATGAGGTGTTGGAGAGATTGAATGTCAAGGGGAATGCTACTCGCGATCAAGGAGCCATAGCTTTGAGTGAAGCTTTGAAGTTAAACGTAACACTGCAATTTTTGAATATTGATGAGAATGAGGTAGGTTTTAATTTTGCCCAAGTGTGTTATGTTCCGTTCTCATGCAATATCACTTACTGGAAATTCATATACTTATCAAAATATAAAATAAAATAAATGATTGCAACAGATTAGTATAGATGGATACAAGGCGTTACATCAGGTGATAACAACTCATAAAAATGTTTCGCTCCGGGAATTAGTTTATCCCAAGCACGATTTGCAGATTTACCACGAAGTTATCGACACGAAACTGTCGATAAGATCAAGGGATACAATATTCGGTTCATCGACAATACGGTCTAATCAGAGAATTGCCTCGGAAAAACAAAAAAACGAGTTCAAACTCGTGCTTGACGAAATTATGATAGCGATTGAGCAACATTCGAAAGTTAATCATAATAATATAGACGAAGAGGAAGATCTGGAAGGTTCAGAAGATGAGTCGATAGATTCTGTTAATGAAATGAGAAATTCGGAAGATGGGTCGATATATTCTGTTAATGAGATGAGAAATTCGGAAGATGTGTTACAAGATTTCGACGATGAGTTGGAAGATTCAGAAGATGATTTTGAAGATATATATAAAAAATTTTATTAAAGAGAAGTAGTATGATATAGAATATTCAAGTGGAAATAGCAATCTTTCCAATCTTTCCACATGGCTATGAACTTGGATTAGAATACCTGTCATTTCCGCAGCATATTATTACACATTGATGTCACAAAATGTATTTAACTTAAATGTACTTTTAACACAAATGTAATTTTACTTAAATGTATTATTTAATATAATTATTTCTTTGCACCATATGTGCCTGCATTGAATATCTGTTTACTGTTTTTCGAGTTCTTAAATAAATAATTGACAATGAAAAATGTTGATCCCTTTGGTTTTAAAAAAAAAAAAAAAATCTCAACTTCAAACCTTGATCTTAATATTTTACATGTTACAACTGTGTTGAGGCATATGGTTTTCCATACTCCTCACTCCACGTGACATTTTAAATAATTTTTTTTGCCCAGTTTAATCAAATAAATTGATAATGCAAAGTTAAAAAAGGATAATACTGCAATTAGTGAAATACATTAAGTATGTACAATAGATTTAATTAGAATAAAAATAATTATTAAATATATTTTTTTTAGAAAATGAATGAATTTTCAAACAGAAATCACCAAAAAATGTCTAGCTCATCAATAAGACCTGAAACACTTCTAGTTCGTCAACATGGAACATCTCTTCACTCTCCCTAATCTTCTTCTTGTAACTATTTTTGATGCACCTGCATTTATCTTCGTCCTTGAAATTATCACCAAACAACCTTAAATCTGACTCGCCGCCACCGAAGCAAGGACCGTAAAACTCGCTCTGGTAAATTGCCTTAGAGTAATCCTCGATCTCGCTCACCACAGGATTGTAATAAAACGCTTTGTCTCCAAGTGTAAAAATAAAACTTTGAGTTGTTGGACTATAATTACATATTACATTAGAGTGCCAACTAAGAGGGTTGAATCCACCGAGAATTTCCCCGGTACTTTCGACTCGCAAAACTACAAGATTGAAAAAACAAAAATAAATAAATTTAGATGCTGTATTGGAAGCAAACGATAAATCATAAATATTTCAAATATTTAACGGGTTAACGTGGGTCCTTTCTCATCGCAATGTTTGTGAAATAATTCTGGCGTAAAACCATGTTCGCTTCCTCTGAAAATTAAATTAAACTTGTATGTGTTAATTGGTGTTTGTGTCCTCGTGTCGTTTTGTGCCTTTGCGTTGTTAATCCATTCTGCTATTATCTTTGCGTCATTGGGTGTCATGAGAATTGAATTTACATAATCGTATGGATTTTGCAATAATTTGTTTTCCTGAATCTTCGATGGATTAAGAAGATATTGTTCTATGATTGAATACAATCCTTGACTTTCATATTCCAAGGATTGTCTCCAAGGAGTCACTTCCTTTGAAAAATCTTCTAAACTCATGTCCATGAACTTAATAAATGGAATGAACGGATTCAATACAATCCCCAAAGAATGAAAGTCTTCTAATTTCCAGACCGATAAATCATCGGAAGCTCGATGTATCTTTGCGATCCCCCATTCAATAAGATTTTTCCACAAGACTACAGGTTTTAATAGGAAATTATGACTCTTAAAAAGAACCAACAAGGCCTCTTGATCCAGCGATGTATAATCAATCGAATCAAATATTGTTGCAGGATTTTCTTTGAGTAATTCTAGAACGCATTTCCGTATTTTGGAATACTTGCTTTCTTTGGATGCAAACCGATGAACAATTGCGAAAAACGGCATCAATATCCATGGATTGCTGGAAAGGTAATCTTGAATGAATTCTGATAAATCATCGATGCTTAATTCATCGGTGGCCCTAAGAAGTTCAAGAATAACTGGTACTTCGTGCTCTGCTGGGACAATTATTCCACCGTATAAATAACTAAAAATTGCAATTTTGTATGTTCACACAGTTAACCAGTGAACAAGTCCATTGCAAAAATAGTAATATGTATACGCTTATGTATGTTTATGATATACACTGTATGTATATATACGAATACCATTAAAAAAAGTCGAACTCACTTGAGAATAATTTTAAATATCTCGGGAGAAATATTGGATTTACTAAAAATCACTAAATTCCCTTTAGTTTTCACGCATTCACTTGATAAAACGTTTTTAAAATATTGTGATCGACTTCTTAAAATAAGCGAATGTGCTTTAAACTCTTGATAATTGGGTTCTAGGCCCGCGCAGATTAGGGTATCATGAAATTCCCCGGTTTCAAACAGGTTTACATAGTCTTTAGACAGTTTTATCAAAAATTTTGATGTTTGTAAATTCATTTTTTTTTTTGACTCGTACGCTATAGCGAGAATTAACTATTTTCTGGGAAAGTCCTGTTTTATTATATTCATGTAATTTGATCCGAACTTATTTATAGTGCGTGATAAAATTCTATTCACCTGACCTTAATTGATCTTCGGAAACTACGTACGGTAATTGGTCCATCACCACGATAAAAGATGTAAGTATGCGCGTACAAACACGTTCAACCAAAAATCCACTTATAAAATAAAAACAAACTCTACGTTTCCTTTCGCTTGATCATGTCTTCTGGAGGAAAGTCTGCTGGTAAATCTGCCCCTGCCGTAGCTTCTAAGGGCAGCTCATCTCGTTCAGCAAAGGCAGGTCTTCAGTTCCCCGTCGGTCGTATTCACCGTTTGCTACGTAAAGGAAACTACGCTCATAGGGTTGGTTCGGGTGCACCTGTTTACCTAGCTGCTGTACTTGAATATCTTGCTGCGGAAATTCTTGAACTTGCCGGTAACGCTGCTCGCGATAACAAGAAATCCAGAATCATTCCTCGCCATCTTCAACTTGCTGTCCGTAACGACGAAGAGTTAAGTAAATTACTAGGTTCGGTTACTATCGCTCAGGGTGGTGTGCTCCCCAACATTCACCAAAATCTCTTGCCGAAAAAGAAGAAAGGTGTCTCGGAATCAGAGGCTTAACATAACATGATTTTTATCAGCGGGTGTTTTTTCTCTTCTTTCTTTTTTTCAAATACTGTAATTCGTCCAATCAAGTGATAAAGTCACTCCACATTTAAGCTATGTATTCGCCTTGATTAACTAATAAAATAGTCTTAAAAGATCTATCGCATGATTAAAAAATTATATCGCGATGTCCTAATTCAATGAGACATGACCCAGAACTACGAACATAATATTGCGAAGCCCACTTGAACTTTGTAATTATTAATCCATAATAAGTATCCTAAGATAAATGACCGGAACCCCGTAATAGGTCAATCATTAATCGATATCGCATAAAGAATTCATCATAATTTAAGGAATGAAAATATATAGATTGTTGTTGATTAAGTTGAATTAATGTTTAATTTTACAAGAAATATTATTGTTAATTATTGATACTGCTTCTATATTGCTTTCAATAAAAAATTTTAAACCAATATAGAGAAACATTCAGTCTGTAACAAGTCTTCACAAATTAATTTAATTAAATGAAATAGGTTAATTATTAAAAGATATAAAAAATAGATTCATATAAAAAAACTTTTTCAAATATACTGTATATTTAAAAAAAATATTATAGTCATTCAAGTTTTCACCCAAATTTATGGGGTAAATTTTTGTTATAATAAAAAAAAATGTTTTTATTTAGTAATTTAATATAAACTGGTAAACTTTGTGGGTTTAGAAGATATTGAACTGGAGGTTGGATATTTGATTACTTGACAATATGATTATATCATATATAATTTTAAAAAAAATAATCAAAGAATTGTCTTTTTGTTTTATTCAGCTTTATAAACTAAAAAAATAACTATAATTAGTTTAATTTTTTCAAAAAATTAATTCATATTATATTATATTGATTTCAAATTATTAATATAAATAAACCTATTAGCTTTTATTAAATATTTATTTAACCATATATTATAATTAAATAGATTCAAGTTACTACTTAAAATATTATATTATATTATTATTTTTTATTGCTATTATATAACAAGCATATATAATATAAGTTATAATTTTTTGAAATTAATTTTATTATTATAATTTTATTAAAATTATAAAAATTTTAATAATATTATTTTTTTTTTTTTAAGTAAATAAATAACATTTTTATTTTTTGTATATATAATTGCATAAATATTCAAAAAGAAATAATATCTTTTAAATATAAAAGCATATACAAACAAACCTCCCTAAATACACCCTCTACAAATCCACTT